CTATCATTCCTTCTCTCCCACCTCCTCAGCTACCCTCCACCACCTAAATTGTAAAGTTTGTTTTTCGACATAGCATCTTGTATATCTCATTGTTGCAATGAGTCAATCTGTATATCATCTACCCTGAGTCAGACTTCCATTTTTGGAATCTTAAATTTTCTCTTCCAATGACAGAATCTGCACATGCCACACATGATGTGGTTCAATTACAATGTGGTTCATTTACAAATCCTGTTCCTGAGGTAAAAATGTTATTTCCATGTATATATGCAAGATTTCAAACCATTTTGTATGAGACAATTGAATACATACTTTCTTGTGATGAAGATGAAGTTGATAGCTGCATGAATTCCGTCCAATCCATAAAGCCCTGACCGCTGACCTCTACAACAATAGCATAGAGGAAATATGCATGGTTCTTTCATTCTGAAGAATAGAGGTTAGTTACAAATGCTGGGTTTTCCCCACATGCCGGTTTGTTTATCTGCATTGTTTACATAGAAACATGAAGTATGAATATAAATATGAAAGAAACATCTTTCTCTAGAAATGTATTTTTAAAATGCAATTATCTTTGTGTGTGTGTGTGTGTGTGTGTGTGTGCGCGCTTGTGTGTATGTTGTATCAGTAACGAGTCTTGAATTCAGGGCTTGGGTATTGTCCCTGAGCTTTTTGCTCAAGGCTAGCTCTCTACCACGTAAAACACAGCTCTACTTCTGACTTTTTGGTGGTTAACTAGAGATAAGAGTGTCACAGACTTTCTTGTCCTGGATGGTTTTGAACTGCAATCTTTAGATCTCAGCCTCTTGAGTATCTAGGATTATAGACTTGGGCCACTAGCACCCAGCAAAATATAATTATCTTGCTGCTTGCCTTCAGATTCTGCCTTTCTCCTTGGTGTTTTCTATGTCTACTCTAAGAGCCTGGGTGAGAAAGAGATAAAGGTAAATGCTAGGGATTAGCAATATATCCTGACAATGTGTCAATAACACTGAATATGAATGATTGGTACACTCTTGGAAGCTGAATCTGTTTAGCTGATTTCCAGTGCTTTGTATTAATGAAATAAATTTTGTCACATTTTGTTTATTATGCATTTTGAAATGTACCATTGTTCTTGAATATTTTGGATTCCATGAAGCCAAGTACAAACTGAAGAATAATAAATAGGTACCAGTGGTTCATGCCTGTAATCTTAGCTACACAAGAGGCTGAGGTTGCAGTTCGAAGTTGGTTCAGTCAGGAAGGTCCATGAAACTCTTATTTCCAAGTAACAAGCAAAAGCCAGAAATGGAGCTGTGGCTCAAGTGGAGGAACATCAGTCCAGAGCAATAAGTTTCAGGGACAATACTCAGGCCCTGAATTCAAGTCCCAGAACCAGCAATAATTTATTTATTTATAAATATAATTTATTTATATAAAATACATATATACACATATGCATGTATATGTTACTAGTAAGCTGTGGGTATTTTGTATTTCAATATTTATTCTAGCCTTTTAAATGAAACAAAATTACTACTGGATGATATATCAAATGATCCCTTACAATAAAGCAAGATCAAAGGAAAAGGGCTATATTTCTTATAGTGGATGCTAGAGGCCAGGGATAGTTTCATAACAATAAAGAATGCCATCATACTTGCTGGGAAGATCAGATGAAGTGCATTTATTGAAGCTGACTGTAGAGTATGAATATCATATCAGAGGCTTTATCAGATACAATGCTCTTTTGTATCCTAGTCCATTTGCTGGCTATCCTTTGTTACTGATATTTGTAATCTCATTAGAATTAAGATTTAAGCTTCGTAAATTGATAAAGTCTGACTGTTTCCATAATTCCTTTTCTTCTATTCCTTTAAATATTCTCTTCAAAGGCTATTTTTGTTTTATGCTAAGATAATGGAAATTATTCCTGGCAAATACATTAAGAAGTAAATGGAATGAATGCTTCATTAACAGCAATCCTAGGGTAACTAAGAATGAATTAAAGTCAGATGCATACATAGAACACTATAAAATCATTTGTAAAGCTCTGTACACCCAAAACGTAAGTAAATAACTATTAGAAAAATAAAACATTGTAGAGTGAGAGCTGTGTGCATTAGAATATTACATATTATTTTCCTATTGCTGTTGTAACAAAATACTACAAACAACAGAATGAAAATGTTTTACCTTAATGTTCTGAGAATCAAAGAGCTGAACTAGGGCTTATGGGCTCAGCAGGTCTCAGCAGGCATGCCTGTTTGTGCTTCCAGTGGCTGCCCCATTCCTTGGCTAATAGTCACTTTCTCGTGTCAATGCATGTTTTCTTCCATTCTTGGTTCTCCTGCTTTCAGTGTGATCCTCTGGCCTAACTCCTGTTTGAACTACTGTATTTAGACTGCTTTATACGTGTAAGTCAGGCCAGTCTCTTCACAAAATGCTTCCACTATTTCTTCCATTATCAAAGTTTCTTTTGTCATTAAAGAGATGTATTTATAGACCCCACGGATGAAGACATGGAGATCTCTGGAGAGAACATACCACACAACACATATTTACTCCTACATTATTGAAACAAATGTCTGAAATGATAGTAACTTTGTAATGGATATATCATGCATGACAAGGGCATGAAAGTTAGAAAAAAAAACATGTTCACACATTGATTTAAAATCTCTACTGTTATGTTATTGAAGTTATTTGTTTTATTATGTCTTGATATTATTCGAATTTATTTTTACCATTTATCATGTGCAGGAAAAGTAACTGTCCCATGTTGGTCGGATTATAGATGAAAATAAAGAATATCATTGTTCTCATTTTAGATTTAATTTGTAAATAATCAGGTAAGTAAGGTAGTGCCTCCTTTTCCTCAAAAGTAGATATTCTGCTGAAAACTCATGTCTGTCATCCTACCTACTCAAATCTGGAAGACCACAGTTTAAAACCAAGCAAGGAGGAAAAGTCTGTGAGATTCCATTACTAAAATAACCAGCCAAACAAGTCTCAAAGCCTGGTTCATGTGGTAGCTCACAAAGCAAGCAAGCAAGCTGAGCAAGTACAAGCCTCTGAGTTTAAACTCTGCTGTAGGAAAAATATATTTCATATAATAAATACAATCTTGAATAAAAAGTGTGGACACTTTATATTTTTGATGATAGCAAATTATTGATTTTAACATACTTCTTAAGCTTTGCTACTTTAGAAATGACTAAAGAACTTCAAGTTATGCATATTTAGATTTACTTGTTGCTAATCCATCATTTAGGATTAAATTCAGTGCTTTCCACATCCAAAATAGGTAGATATCTATTGAGCCCACATGTCTTCACTGTCTTCTTCCTGCCTTTATTTCTGTTATCTATGTTAGTGCTCTAACATATCTGTGCAATAAAAATTATTAAATATAGCCATATTTCTTCCAGAGTATTTTTTGTCTTAGTTCTTTTTTATTATTCATTTGGTTTAAATCTTTTCAAAAGCTTTGAACAAGCAAATGTATAAGAAGGCTTTTTTTTGCTTTTACTAGAGAAAGCAATGGCAAATCTTAAGGGTTTTTGTATAAATTATATTTCGTGTAAACTGGTTCAAAGACCATATCTATTCTTGATCATACTGCTAAGCAATGACTTTACATATACGCAACACTTAAAACGCTAAGCTATACATTTCTCTGCTGAGATTTAGAGACATAACCACAATGTCTTCTTTTCTGAATTCCATTTTAATGTTTAATCTGCAACCCATGAAAACGCAGGGCTCAGAGCTTGTGTCAGTTTTCTGTAGACTGAGGGACTGATGGGTTCACAGGAAGACTTCCTCTGTGATGCATTTTACTACTGTTATGATAGTTGGCAAATAAAGCTTCCTCAATATAAGTTGTTATCATGCACAGAATTTTCTAGCCACTAAACAAAAAAAAAAATAAAGATAATCTCAGAAGATAGTGAATTTTAAGGATCCATTTGACTGGCATAAGAAATACCTAGAAATCTGGAAAAGTATTATTTTGAGTTGTGTCAGAGATTTGTGACAGAGAGTTCAGAGATTAGCATGTGAATCTGAGTGAATAAAATGAGAAAGTAAGTAGGCTGGGGCTAGGCGTTAAAAAAAGTGAAAACAGAAAAAGTGAATGTTGTTCCTTACATACTCACCTCCTCTCTCCACATCAAAATTCCAGGTTTTCTGGACTTTGGACTCCAGGACTTAACAACAATGTCTTCATTCCTGTGAGGAGTACAGGCTTTGGTAATCGACTGAGATCTTGGACGGATGGCTGCTTTCCCCATTTCTGAAGGCTTAGACCTTGGATCTAACAACACTATCAGCTTCCCATGTTTTCCAGTGCTCTTTTTTTACCTTTTTAAAAATATTTTTATTATCTTTAAGTAGTTGTACAAAGGAGTTGCCATTCACCAAAGCAGTTTCTAAATATATTGCATCTTGATCAATACCATCCCTTTCAACATTCTCCTCCACCTTTGCCAAGCCAGCCCTTCTCTCATGTATCTTAATTTTAGGGTATGTATTGAAGTTTTGGGCATTTAACAAAGCAGTTTATGTACACAGTGCTTCTGAATCTGGGTCAGCACTTCAACATTTTCCCCATCCACTTCAAACCCTTTTCCTCATTAGTCTTAATTTTTAGGTTATCTTTTTTCTTTCTTTCTTTCTTTCTTTTTTTTTTTTTTTTACTATTTAACAAAGTGGTTTACATATATAATGCATCTTGATCTGTATCATCACGTCAACATCTTCACACCCGCTGTGGCCCACTTTTTTTTTTTTATTTCTCTATTCTGTGATGTATGTAATTATTTCTTGCCTGCTTTCTCCCTCCTTCCCCTCACCATTGTTCTACCAGTTTCTCCTTGGCAGTATCCTTCCCTCTTACAAGTACCTATTGTCGTAATTATTTTATTAGGCTTTCTCTTAGTCTTTTTAAAGAAGACTATTTTCACTCTCCACTGAGTCTATTATACTTCAATTAATTCACTTGTAACCCCTTGCTTACTATCCAGTATGTTTACTTATAGATATATAGGCATATTGTAACTACCAAAAATGAGGAAAACCCTGCAACTTATGTTTCTCTGGGTTTGGCTCACTTCCCTTAATATCATTTTCCCAAGTCTTTCCATTTCCCTATAAATGGTACAATATAATTATGATGGCTATGTAGAATTCTGTTGTGTAGATATGCCACTTTTTCTTGATCTGTTCGTCCACTGAGGTGTATCTTGGCTGATTCTGTATCTTGGCTATGGTAAGCAATGCTGCAAAGGATACGGTATTCTGGTAACTGAAGTATGGACTTCCCAGGAGTGGGATTGCTGGATCATGGAAAGCCATATGTTTAGTTTTTAAGAAACCTCCATACTGCTTTCCACAGTGGTTGAAAAAGCATGCATTACCACAGACAGTGTAATAAAGTTCCCTGCCACGCCGACTCCAGTGGAGTCTGCTTAGCATGGGAAACCATCTATCAGACCTAAGAAAGGGGCTTCAGAGACCTATCTCTGAGTATTGGGACTTCACCGAAGTCTACCTCGGAGAATAGGGCTTCTAAGAGGCCTACTCCTGGAAAGGCTGGCAAACCCCTGGGAAAGATGTGTTTCTGCCTTTCTTTTCCTCATAAGAGTGCCTATTAATCTTTTACTGTTTCTACTGCTCTTTGTACTTGCTCATTGTCAACGTTCCCTTATTCAAAGCTCTTTCTTAAGAGTGTTGACGACTCCAATATCTGATGAGTGTCTTAAAAATATGACTAACTCACCAGAGTTAAGTGCTAACCTGAAACCCCTCTTATGGAGGCTAGGAGACAAGTTATAAGTAAATATAAAAGTATTGGGGGTTTCACAAAGTCACTTCAGCAGAAGGAATTATTTGTAAGGGATTTACAAGAAGCTGTAGGCTCAGCTAAAACAAAAAGAATGCATGGCAATTGCTGAGATAACTATTTAGGAGAAAGAATTTCCTGCTATTTACTAAGAGACTTGCTAGATCTAGGTCTCCTTGAGGTTTACTATTAAAGAAAAAACAAGAAAGATTGTATGGGAAAGTTAAGGCCTCTATAAAGATAGGTAATGGTTAATTGGTGACAAACATCAAAACCCAAACCCATTGTATTCCTTAGAGATAAGCCGGAGACAAGTGCCTATCAGGTGACCAGCTGGTGACCACCCAAGAAAGAAGCCCTGCAGCAAGATTGTGTAACCTTTTGCCCTTTCTCATGTAGACCTTTGCTATAAAAGTTTGTTATCCTCTGCATTAAATCGCACTCAGCATCCACTCCTCCTGTGTGTGAGTTGTCTGTTTGCCATCTCCCCATCCTATTCCAGGTTCCTCCCTTAGGTGTCCTCTGTCATCCCGACAGAACCCGGTCTGCGGCAGTTCCCTTTTGTTCATATCCACACCAACATTTGTAATTGTTAGTATTTTGGTGTTGCCTACTGTAACTGAGGTGAGATAGAATCTGTGTTGTTTTCAGTTTTCAAATGGTTTGTCATAGGACTTCTATGCTTTCAATCATGTGAGTCAGTTTCTATAATAATCTCTCTCCTGTCTCCTATCTACTTTCTCCTATCCCCTTCTCTGCCCTTCTCCCTCCCTTTCCTCCTATTTTCCCCTATTCTCTGTACTACTATTCTGGAAGACCCTAACAAAAGCCATGCCTCTGGTATTCTTAAGTTTAATTTCATAAGGACTTTATCATTTTGTCTTGTCTTCCCAAATTTTGGTAGCAATATCAAAGCAGACACTTAAAGTGTGAATGTGAACCGCATTTACCCACTCTTGGTACTAAATGGGTAGCAGGAAATTATTGGGGCATACTTTTGTTACTTAAGTAAAGGAGAAATAACTAATATCATTATATTAACTGACTACTGCAAAGCAACAGGCCTCCTAATAAGTTTAGTAATTATTAATATGTGAGAGTAAACTAACAATCTGTGAAGCTGTAACAGAAAATTGTGTTGGATAATTATTAGTCTTAAAATAATTAATTGAAAAATATCAAATAGTTTCTTGGTTCATATTTTAGAATTACTTCTATTTTTCTAACAAAAATAAGTAAAGAAAGAGAAAATTAACATACAGCAATGATTTAAAGAAATGGGTTAGTTCAGATTTCACTTACTAATGGAAATTTGTGGAGGGGAAGGGGAAAAACAAATCGTTTAAATAGGGATACAGGTGGACCCATTGCAACAACGAGATGTACAAGTCGTTATGTCGAAAACGAACTTTACAACTTTGGTGCTTTGGTGGGGGTAGCGGGGAGGAATTGGTGGGAGGGCAGTGGGAGGATGGGAAGGGATGGGAAGGGGAAACAAATGAGGAGGCTACAATGCTTGATAAGAAATGTACTCATTATCTTGCCCATGTAATTGTAACTCCTCTGTACAGTATTTTCACAATAAAGAAATAAAAATAAAAAATAAAAAAAACAATTTAATATTTTATAATGATTTTCCCATCGTTCACTTTGAGCTTATTCATAGATGTAGTTTGCCAGTTAATAAAAATGCTTGAAAAGCACTGAACAATTGTAGAAGGAGTATTGAAGGAAAACACTTTATTGGTTAGGTTGGCATTAGCTCATACATATTCATGATTTATCTTTGCAATGTTAGGAATAATTATAGATGAAACTAACAATTATGAGAAATAAATGCATGTTATTTTTCACCTAAATCCTGGCCCTTTTTGAAACTGTTTTTAATGTAGTAATAATAATAGGTTGTCAGAGAATTCTCTTCTTTAAAAAATTCCATTTTGACACAATATTTGCCTGGCTTTTAACTGTTGTTAAGATAGTCAAATCTGTTTCGCATATTGCCTTGTACACATAAATATTTGGGAAGTATAATGAGGGAGATTGGAAGGCTCCCAGTGGGAAATCCAAGATGGCAGCATGCTCTTCAATGGGTCATTTTCATAATTATGGAAAACCCCAAGTATATAGCAAGTATGAGTTACCTCAAGGCATTTTGGGCTCTATATTCATAGCAGGCATATAAGTAGAGCAAACAAGAGACTGGTGAATGTACAAGTCAAGTTTCTTCAAGTTCAGGCCAGAAGCATGAGTTTGAAAACAATTAGCAATTCCATTTGAATCCACCTAAATATCACCAGAGCAGAACATGATGAAATTGGTGGTGTCAAACTTGAAAATAGTTGTGCACAGTTGAAAGTGTAGTTGTAGCAACAATGTTCACTGCTGTCTATACTGAGTTACTGTCTCAGAAATGTACTATCTGACTTAAAATACCTTGTAAACACAGGTTAACTTGACTTTCTCGTATCGGTACAAACTTACTTAGCAAATGATATAAAGCTGAAAATTTAATAATAAAGGTATCATAAAAGACATTATCCACAGTCAAATCTGCTATAAAAAAGGGAAATGATATATAATAACAAAGGATTCTTTTCTGTGGAAGAATATAAGCAGCACTGGGTTTTTTATTGTTGTTTTCTTTCTTTTTTTTGTTTTCTATTTTTTGTTTTACTGTGGATGATAGTCCCAGAAAACATAACCAAAGCTCTTTGGCTTTGTTCCAATTTGATTCATGGAGTGGCTTTCTGAAATAGATAATGAGTCTAATAGAAAGTCATAAAATCCTGTCTATTGTCTTACCTATTGGTAATCCCCAAGTCAGTATGAGAGAAGAACACTGAGCAGAGCCAGGTGTGGGCACTATAATTCTCATTTCTCCCTGGAGGACTTTGATACTTTCCTGTTCAGTTGGGATTTCTGCTTTTATGGTCTTTCTCATCTCATATAAGTATTGAAGACCTTGGCCTTTACTTGACATTTTGATGCTATAAGCTAAATCATGATAATTATAACTTTATAGAGAATAAGTATTCTTGCCTTTCACATACACAGGTTTCTTTTAAAGTGTTGTAATTGAGCCAAACTCAAGACAGGCAGGATATTTCATATGTCTATGCCAGTTTGTTATTCAGAATAATATTTTTTTCAGGTGACGTGGAAGTAAAATGGATGAAAGTGCAACATTTAAAAGTTAAGTACCCTTCTTAGGATCACTGTTTAATTCTAGTTCCTAATCTGACCTCTTTGTGACCATCTACATGATGGCTCAACTAAAGGCCAATTGAGAAAATTGCTAATAGATTAACCACTTAGTCGTCATTTTGTAAGTCTACTAAAGGTCCTTGTCTAGAGAAAAATGATAGGCAACATGGTATAAATTTGAACTTCCAACATGCTTAAAATGATTAGGATTAATAAACCCTGCTGAAAATAACTGAAAAATGTGGCCAAGAATTTATCATGTAATGATAAATATGTTAATGAAATGAAACATGCCTGCTATGTCAAATTATAAGGTCAGGGCATATTGTGGTAAAGTGCTCAAAGACCATGAAATGAGACAATGTAAAAAGCAATATGAAGAAGAAAGATTACACGAGATGTATTATTTTCACAGATCCCAGTAGAAATTGCTTATCGATAGCTTACTTATTTAAAGAAAATTATTACCCTGACACTGGTAGAACTGAATGAGTAATCCTGTATCATTCTGTCCTGGCCTAGATATCTGATGCTGGTGTGTGGTTTAGTTATTTAACCAAGTGTAAGCACTCAAGTTATGTGTACCATGGAACAACATATACATGCAAGATGGATCAACTTGAGAGAGACAAAATATTTTGGGTTGTGCAAATGAGTATCCCTATTAAAAACAAATGTACTTATTATCTTACCTATGTAATGGTAACCCTCGGGCTTATCACCTTTTCAATAAAAAAAAGAGTACTTAAGGGAGAACTGAAATGATGTGATTCCATAGAAGGGTAAAGTGAAAAATTCCACGAAATGAACACCAGGAAACAAACTTAAAAGGATAGGGGTGGGATCAAGGGGAAAGAGGGAGAAAAGGGACCTGTTGAAAAGGGGGAGAATACAGTCAAGAATGCAATGTATATCTTGCAAAACTAAGAAGAGTGAGGGAAACAGTAAGTAGGGGACAAATGGGTAAGAATATTAAAAGGAGTGACATTAATCAAGATATATTGTATTCATAAACTGCTTGGTTAAATGACAACTCCTTTGTACAACTACTTAACGATAATTATTTTAAATACAGCCCAGAATTAGATGTAAAAATAACAGCTATAATTCTCCTAGATAAAAGTCAAAGAAGTCAATCTAGATTAACAAACGTATGCTTGGTAAGAAAGAAATATAAACATTTTTGACTTTAATAAAGAGTATTCAAACTCTACACTGCATGTAGTTACATTACTTCTGTACACCTTTAAGTCTTTTTATTTCAAATTCTGATCTCTGATAATCAAAAGAGTATGAACTTTGCAATGCAACCAAACAAACTAAATGAATGAAACTAAATTTATGGATATACAAGGATTTCAAATGTGATAAAGCCACATTTTAAATCATTCTGAAATAGGTAGATTTATGAATTCTATTAAGGGAAAACTTTTGGGAAATCATTTCAAACATACATGACATACATGGGGCTAATTTGTTTAAGTTACAAAGGCTTTCAAAAAAATACAAACAGCTTGGTTGTTTTGCCAGCAAAGGATATAAATAAAGAGCTCACAGATCAACAAGGAAATGATCAGATAACAAGCTTACAAAAATAATAGCACAAAAATAATATAAGAATTAAATATTAGCAACATTGCATGGTTTATTTACCAATGTGAGAAACAGAAAAAACATGACAATTGCTAGAGCTGGTAAGAGACATTAAAAAAGTAAAAAAGAAATGTACTCATTACCTGACTTATCTAACTGCAGTCTATCTGTACAACACCTTTACAACAATAATAATAATTATTATATATGTACATACATATATATATATATATATATATATACTATACATTCATTAAAAACCAATCAAAAGCCTAGAACTGGAGATAAATTTCTGTAAGAATATGAATACACATATAATTCACTAATCATATTAAATAGAATAATATTCGTGACCAAAAAACAATATAGAACTGATGTACATATACATGCACACACAAGTCATAACACATTGTTTGCATATTTTGATGCCTCCAAAATTTGTTAAAATTATATGTACCTCAAACTTGTCTTTTTCCATTTACTTTACTGTTGTATTTAGTATTTTCTGTCTTTCCTACTTTCTTTTTTTAGAATTTAATTTTATTTTCAAGATGATGTATAGAGTGGTTACAGTTACATAGTAAGGTAGAGAGTACATTCATTTCTTGTGAAACTTGTTACCCCTTCCTCATTTTACTCCAATTTCCCTCACCCCTGCAAGTTGTACAGCTCATTTCCACCATATTGTCTTGTGAGTATTCCTGTTGCATTGTTTAGCCCTTTGTCCTTTGAGTCACCTGGTATACAGGAAAACTAATGAGGAAAGTACACCACCCCATGTTGATCCATTCCCATGGGGGCTGAACATTAAACAGAACTCTGTGAGTAAAATCCCAACACAGGAAACTGAAGCAGGAAAACCAAAGACAACCTGGATATTGTCTCAAAGGCAAACCTGATTTAAAACAACTGTGTGGGTCAAGTTATCTTTCCAGCCTGCTCCCAGTTATCTAATGGTATCTCAGTAACCTCTGTCTATACAAGTCTCCATTACTAAATTTCCGACCATTCCTACTCCAGATGACAACATGGAGAGAATATTAAACTTCTCGAAACTGATTGTAATGCCAGCCTCAGAATGGGAGGTAATTTGTAACTGGTATGTTAAGTGGGTCGTTAATAGAGAACCCTTAACTAGAACTAAACTCTGGCAAATGAGTAGAAATACATTTATGTCATTTTGGAAAAAAAATTACTTTGATTCTTTAATTGTTGGAAATGATTAATATTATGACATGACTTGTAAAGAATGCTTTCCTTGCTTAAATTCTGTTTTTTAGAAGGGCTCATCGATGTCTGATTTTTAAGTGACTATCAAGCTGAGGAGATTGTTTGCTGATTATGCGAAAACATCTCATTGTTCATAGAGTGTGAGCCGAGGTCTTGGCTGACTTAGTGTCCACTCGATTTCTTCAAGAAGGTTTGCATACTCATAGTCTTGGAATCAAGAGAGTAGAAGAAAGGGCAAATTTGCTCCCCTAAATGTGGCAACTATTGTCTCAGCTCTGAAGGGTTCAGATTTCTGAGTTTGGGGTTCCTTTCCCATATAGCCACCTACATGAAAGCATTTCTTTTTTTTTTTTTTTTAAATTGTGAAAATACCATACAGAGGGGTTACAATTACATGGGCAAGGTAATGCGTACATTTCTTTTTTAATTTTTTTGGTCGGTCGTGGGGCTTGAACTCTGGGCTTGGGCGCTGTCCCTCAGCTCTTCAGCTCAAAGCGAGCACTCTACCACTTGAGCCACAATGCCACTTCTGGTTTTCTAGTGGTTTATTGGAGATAAGAGTCTCACGGACTTTGCACTTGCTGGCTTTGAACCACGATCCTCATATCTCAGCCTACTGAATAGCTAGGATTACAGGCGTGAGCCACCGGCGATTGGCATGAGTACATTTCTTATCAAGCATTGTTTCCACCTCCTTTGTTTCCACTTACCATCCCTTCCTATCCTCCCCCCCCACACCCCCTCCACTGCAAAGTTGTAAAGTTCGTTTTTCGACATAACGTCTTGTACATCTCATTGTGGCAATAAGTCTACCTGTATCCCTATTTAAACGATTTGTTTTTTCCCTTCCCCTCTACAAATTATACCAACATCAAATACAGTGAAAGCAGGGGTTGTACTGTGGGGGAGGGACATACAAAGCAACAAAGAAATTATCTTATCAAGATGTTAGAAACAATGGAATGAAAGAAAAAAAACATTTGAATACTTATCTTGGGGTTCATTTTCCCTAACAACAACTTATCTGACTGTTTCTGCTTGTTTCAGACATAAACTAGTTATTGCAAATAAGGGAAACCATGGGACCTATGTTTCTTTGGGCCTGGCTAACTTCACTTAATATAATTTTTTTTTTTGGGTCCGGTCGTGGGGCCTGAACTCTGGGCCTGGGCGCTGTCCCTCAGCTCTTCAGCTCAAGGCTAGCGCTCTACCACTTGAGCCACAGTGCCACTTCTAGCTTTTTACTTTTTGCTTATGTGGTGCTGAGGAATCGAACCCAGGGCCTCATGCATGCAAGGCAAGCGCTCTACCACTGAGCCACCTTCCCAGCCCCACTTAATATAATTTTTTTCCAAGTCTTTCCACTTCCTAACAAATGGGGCAATGTCATTCTTTCTGATGGAGGCATAGAATTCCATTGTGTATATATACCACATTTTCTTGATCCATTCATCTACTGAGGGGCATCTGGGTTGGTTCCATATCTTAGCTATGGTAAATAATGTTGCAATAAACATAGTTGTGCTGGTAGCTTTAGTGTGGTCTTGTTTGTGAACATTTGTGTAAATGCCCAAAAGTGGGATTGCTGGGCCATAGGGGAGCTCTATGTGGAGTCTTTGGAGGAACCTCAATACTACTTTCCAAAGTGGTTGAACAAGTTTACACACCCAGCAACAATGTCCCTGTGCCTTCTGCTGAAACTAGGAGTTTAAGAAATGAGTGCCAATTCTAACTCTGAACTACTTCTATCACTATATTAGTACCTTTCTTTATTTTTCTCTGCTCCACAGGACTTCCATATTTCTTTCGGTCCATAAAGACATTTTTTGTCAGTTTGTGAGGATAGCTCAAATCTTTCCTAGTACTTAATTGTGTAGGTTACGAGAATAGAGTAATGACAATTATCTGACTATATACAACAAGAACAACAGGGGCCTTGCATGTTGAGAGATTTGAGGCAAAACCAATTGAAATCAACTGAACCTCCAAGTGGTCAGATGTGGTCCATCCTCACAACACGTGTTAATAAGTAGGATGTGGGTAGGTGAGTGCACCCTGAAGCTACCAGTTGTCTGGAACTCTGTGCAATGGAGTGATCCAACTCTCATTTTGCAAGACTTACTATTTGTGGCTAACATTCCCTATCCAAGAGCACCAAAGGTGCTCTCAACATTGTACTCTTTGTACATGAACATTGACTTTTCTCCCAGAATCCACATTATCTTTAACTAAAAATAACTGGTGCATTGTACGTTAGGGATATATGGTGAGTTACCCCTACATGCTAAAGAAATTCCATCAATAAGTCATATAGTCCTCTGATAATTGCAGACATCTCTGAAATTAAGGCGACCTTGATTATTTTGGGGACATTTTAGAGAAAAAAACTGATTGATTACTTAAACTCATAGTCTTCTCTGTGATGAAAATCATTCTATTAGAAACATGATATACTGTGTTGTGCTGACTTTGCCTAAAATGATCAAAGATTCCAGAATGGCTTTAGAAGGCAACAGGGCATTGGTAGACAAAACAATGCTCTAGATTTACCTAGGGCTGGTTAAGTTGGAGGCTGAACAGGAAATTATTGTCTGCTGTCCAATAGGAACATAACTCAGAAGCTTAAAGATCAAACCACCTGGATGTCCCAGGTTGATCCTGAGATGTTTTCTTTATCTAGTTGAATTCAAGAAAGACTCTGTAAGGAAAAAGTCAGTATTTCAGGTTGTATTCATTCTTCTACTTAAGGTAGATTGAGGGATACCATATATATTATTTGGATATGGTACTGACCTCTGCCAGTCCAATTAATTTGTGAGCCATGAAGTGGTAGACTCATGAGTATTACTGGGGGAAAAATCTCCATGAGTCTGTCATATTTCTGCATATTTTGAAATGAGATTGAACTGAAGCTCTTTGCTAAACTGGTCACAGCCTTCTCTGTAATGAGCTTTATCATAAAGTACATCTCCAGGAATTTAGAAGCATCTCTGGAAGACCTGAGAGCCATTCCCTAGAATGCAATCATCAGAAGAATGGGACTCTATCTCCAAGACTCCACAGGAGGACAGAGCACTAATGATAATTAACTCTAAACACAGTTTTTGCCTAATCTCATTTACACTTCCCAAGTCTGTGTACTTTTTACTCCTCTGAGCCTGCTGAGCCCCAGTACTGATTCCTACCTCTTAAACCCCAATCAGAACAGAGCTAAGAGCTCATTCCATGCTAAGCAGTTTTAAACAACTTCTTTCAGTTGTAAAAGATACTTTAAAAAACATGCTTCCTTCTTAGATGTCCTAACATGTGACCTACAAAATGACACTGAGGTGGACTGAATTCCAAATCTTCAACCAGCAGAAATTCAGATTTGGGATAAAGAGCTACATGAACTATAATCAAGAGCCAGGGGTATTACAGTGTTATTACTAAATTAGGACTAAGAATGTAAAAGTCCTGAAAGACACAATTGTATCGAATCATGATCTAAGACCTTATCAGAAAATCAACTCCCCAAATCTTTTAAAAATACCCTTCACTGGCTCACTGAGAAAGCAGATTTGAGTATGTCCCCTATCTCCTTATCAGTAAACATTCAATATTGCTTTTTTCTGTTCAGACATGAATGACATAATGTTGATTTATATGCATTGGGCAGTGAGTACTTGCACAACAGAATGTCTCATGCTGTAATTCCAAAGACTTCAGCAAATGACCTAGGAAGACACTTTCTTTCCCACATCTCACTCACCAGTACCAGGACAAGGGCTGGATTTTTATCTCTCACTAAAGCTGTTCAAGCTCATTGTCCTAACCGGGTTCAGTTTGCTAACATGAGGGTTTCTCTTTTACACAACCACTGTTCACAGAAATATTTCCGACCTCTTGCCTATGGCTGGAATGCAAAGCTTGGGGGAGGGGTGCTGAAAAAATGCTCATACGTTAAACATGTTACTCTGAGAAAGTGCTACCTCTTGCCTCTGACCCAAAAGCCTCATCACTTCTAGCAGCACTTAAGAAAACTGAGTCAAATTAAATTATTAGCTTGAAAGTAGATTCCCAGATGCTTCCATTTTTTAATAAGAAAATATTGCCAATAAGTCATAAAATTATTTTTTAAATTTTAATTAAACTTATAATTTGGCATTTGTGATCAGAGGATCAATTCTCAGCACAGAGAAGTGTGCTTTAATTTGACATTGGGTAGTAGTCCATAGATATCTTTCAGGGTGTTTTCTGAAATCCTTTATGGTAAAAGAACTTCACTATCATTTTCATATTGGATTGAAAGTATGGAATGTGGAGGAAATAACCACAGCTTTTACTTTGATTTTAATCCATTGTTTTCTCTTTCCTGCCCTTCCCACCTAACTAACTTCAAATAATGGAAGCATCAAATCCTGGACACCAGAAAGACTGATCATCTGGATGTAGCAGTCATAATAATGGGAACGTGACCCCTTATAAAAGGACATACAAAAAATCTCCTGGTGTAAATATTTTATAGATTAGTTAATTATGCTTCATAGATTTTTATAGATGTTTTATAGATTAATTAATTATATTTCACATTAATCCGAGCATCAACTGATCTTCCATATACGTGTGAAGATTTTTTTTTGCATCAGTTAAAATGTTCTCTGTCTAAGAAATGTTGGGGTGCTTTTACTTAAGGACAAGGTAGAGGAAACAAAGTCTTTCACAGAGACAGAAGGTGGACATTTTGAGAAAGGGATTCAAACTACTGTACAGAGAAAGAAGACTGAAAATTATGTGACAAGAATGTGGTGTCTTGCAGGGTCAGATACTAGAGAAGGGGCAATTAGCAAGACAGCACTAAGAAGGCCAATGGGTTTGGCAATTGGGAGGTCATTGATGACATTTAGTCTTACAAGTCACCACATGCATTAGCTAATGAAGACAAAATAGTGTGCCCCCGCCCCTAGTGTGCCATAATATCAGTCCTGCGATGAATGATATTATCCACAGGGTACCTCTTAATGATGAATAGTATTGTGATTAAATTGCTATCAAGGACCAGTGGGAATGTTCACTGCAACCCTTTAAATACCAACAGCACAATTAATACTCTGAAACAGACATGTAAGAAATAGGTAGCGGCCTGCCCTTCCATCACAGTCACATTTTATGTCACCCTTGAGGGCTCATTGATGCAAAATGAGCTGTATTTATTCACATGTAGTTAGTTGTGCTTTATCAGGAGGAAGACATTATTAAAATGAGCTTGTACAGAAAGAAAAATGGAAATGTTTAAAGTACGATTCTGTTGTTGCTGTTCTATAATTAGTAAAGCTTATTGTTTCTATAATTTGGAATACTTTAAAGAAAGAATTATGACGATTGTCAGGTGGCAAACCATATCTTCAAGTAAGGTTTCCAGTTTTTGATTCCTTGTAGGAGAATTTCCCATTAAAGGACTTTACTGTGTTAAGAAACTCAAATATGTATTTAAATGCATTATTCTTGTATTTAATCATGAAAGTATAATATTTTCTTTCAAAAACCACATGAATTTATAAACTTCACAGGTCTAATGTTTCTTTATATTCTTTTTAAAATCATTTTTCAGTAGTTGTGAAAGTAGCTTTCAATTTAACATGTCAGTTTGTGAGGACAATGTATCTTGATCAATGTCATCCCTTTAACTCATTTTTTTTCTTCTGTGCCAGTCTTGGGGCTTGGATTCATGGCCTTATCACAGTTCCTGAGCTAGTGGTAGCCTAGTGCTTTACCACTTGAACCACAACTCCACTTCTGGCATTTTTGGTCCTTACTTAGAGATAAGAGTTGCAAAGACTATCCTTTCTGGGCTTCCTTCACATTGCAATCTTCAGATTTCAGCCTCTTGAGGAGCTAGGATTTCAGATGTGCGCCCCTGTTCCAGATTTTCTTTATTCTTTGTAATGAATAACTTATAAGTGTTAGATCTACAATATACAGTATTATAGCATCAACAATTTATCTAGTCTGTTAAAATTCTATGTAGATATCAATGGAAAATGTGGGGGGGAGCGGTATGTTTCTGTCTGTATGCATTCATGTGTGTATATTTGCAGACATGTGTGAACGAATGTGCATTTGTGTATGTTTACAGAGAGGATGGCATGCTTCATTTAACATACTTCTCCTTGTATGGATTTGTCCATCTCAGAACACTGTCTGCCAGGGCCTGGACACATCTTTCTCCTAGATATATCAATGTTTTCTGCTTTATTTTCTCCAAAATTGGTTTATCTGAAGGAGAATGTTGCTAAAGCTGGATCTCCATCTACTTAACAATTACACCCTTTCTGGCAGGGCAACCTTTCTGCTGCTGTAGTGACAAATGTCTTCCTTTATTAATTAAGAAAGGAAATATTGGGAGTGAACTAGAACCTCACTCCTTACTCTCACTG